AAATATTAAACAACAACACCACTGTGTCCATGAGTCCTCACTAATCAGGCACCAAAAATCTGGTGCAGATCGGACGATATATCTGTTGCAATATTGTAGGGGGCGCTCTAGAGTCAAAAGTTAAAAAAACATTACTAATGTGTCCATCAGGGCTACATAATAAAACACCAAAAATCTGGTGCAGATCGGATGATATATCATTGAGATATAACTGTTGCAATATTGTAGGGGGCGCTCTAGAGTCAGAAGTTAAAAAACACTACTAATGTGTCCATAACTGCTACTAATGATGCACCCAAAATCTAGTGCAGATCGGATGATATATCATTGAGATATACTTGTTGGAATATTGTAGGGGGCGCTCTAGAGTCAAAAGTTAAAAAACACTACTAATGTATCCATAACTGCTTACTAATGATGCACCCAAAATCTGGTGCAGATTGGCTGATATATAACTCAGATATAACTGATTAAATAATCTAGGGGGCGCACTTGAGTTCATGACTTCCTGTTCAAGGGGTGGGCAATGATCGATCGTAGTGACTTTGATGAACCTCGGATCAAATCTGTGGAATTTAGAGCCAAACGTATTGTAACGGCGTCACTTCTGAATTCGCCACGCCACCACGCCCACATCCTCCAGCGGAAACGCTTTGCGCTTCAAAGCAAGTCAGACCAACTTGTTGTCTGCCTTCTAACACAGGATCATCGTGATTGGGTCCAGAGTGTCAGGGAAGGAGCATTCCAAGCAAAAAAAGTCACTTCCTGTTCCGAGGGGGGCGGGGCTTTGATGACGTCAAAATTTGACTTCAGGGTATCGTCAGGCATGGGACAGGGATGACTTGTGCCAAATTTGGTGCAATTCTGTTTTTCAACGTGAAAGTTGTAGCGTTTGGAAATTTTTGGCGTGAAGCATAATTTTGAGGTCCGGCCCCGCCCCCTCAACATACGTCGGTTTGCACCGTTTTGATAAATTTTGGTCCCCCATGCCTACTGAGCAAAATGGCGCAAGTTTGAAACCGATTGAGCGAAATCCCTAGGAGGAGTTCGTTCAAATTCGCCGTGTACGAAAAGTGAAAAACGGCCAAAATTGACCCTTTGACTCAAAATGGCCGACTTCCTGTTGGGTTTAAGGCATACCTCCAAGAGACTTTTTTTCATGATTCAGTGGGTTGTACATGTGTACCAAATTTCAGCTCTCTAGGTCTTACCAGTTGTCATATCTCACGTTAGGGGGTGCTGTGGAGCAGTTTGGCCACGCCCACTTTTGGTTCCATTAAATACCTCAAATTTCTCGCGGGGGACAATTTTGGGTCAAATATGGTGAGTTTTCGAATATGTTAAGGCCTCCAAATTAGCGCTCTTTGACGGAAAAAAATTAGAAACGACACAATTACAATAGGCCTTCGCAGCGCTTAGCTGCTCGGGCCTAAATATACCAGTTAGTTCAGTCCTCTGCAGAGTCATAAGTCTGGATTGTTCATGAACTCAGCCTGTGTCAGGACTGGAGATCATGCTTCATTTAACTTTCACTAAAGGATTTACTTACAATGCATTCAACCTTTATTGATACAGGCTAGTCTCAGTGAGTCACAAGGACTCATTTACAAGAGAGACCTGTCTGAGACAGACAACATAACACTATGAAGGACACCATCTAGCTCCTACATGGCTTAAATATCCATCCATCCATCCATCCAGCAATCCATCCATCCATCATCTTTACCCACTTCTTCCTTTTCAGGTCTTAGGGGTCACTGGTGCCCATGTCCAGATATCACTGTGCAAGAGGTAGAAGACACCCTGGACAGGTCACAGGGACACATAGAGACAAACGAGACAAACAACCATTCACTCTCTCTCTCACCTAGGGACAATTTGGAGTTACCAATAAGTCTAACATGCATGTTTTTGGTCTGTGGGAGACTTAAACATGTCAGACACATTAACTTTCTAATTTTACATTTTCCTAATATATCCTAATACAGTCATACCTTTGGGACTCTATTTCTGACGGAGGACAACATACATCAAGTCCTAATTTTTCTTTAAATCAAATGAACTGCAATTTTGGTTTCCACATAACTAACACAAATGAAAAAAGAAAAACACAGTCTCTCTGTTTCTGTTAGGAGAACTAAAAGCAAACTGAAGTTTTCTTCTTGTTTTATTACAAATGAATACTGTATTATTAAACCCTTCCCAGCCCAAATCCCATGGGATGAAAAACTGGCACATACCTATGCGTAGCATGAAGTTGTTGAATGACTGGTAGTTTATGTTCATGAGTGTGACCTTCATCGCCAGAGCAAAATCTGCCAGGTCTGCCAAGTGCTGCCAGCACTCTTTGTCAGACTGCTCCTCCTTCTGTTAGAAAGAACCCTACAGGACTCAGACTGAGCAACATATCACGAGCACAAAGCACAGCACTGGGCTTACTATTTACAGAAAAATATGTTGGTATTCTTTTGTTAAAATAAGAAAAAAGTACAATGATCACTGAAATTACTTGAAACTGACAATAGTAATATTTTTTTCCTGAAAATCAACTAATTTAAAGTGGACACTGGTTTTGTATTTTGATTCAACAGGAATATTTACAAAGAACAAACTATTGACATGTCAAAAAGGATGGCACCCCTAGAGAAGATAGACCATAGAGACATGTTAAATTAAGGTGTATCACAGGTGTCTTCAATCTTGTAATCAGTCAGTCTTCCTATTTAAAGATAGAAAAGTCGTCACAGTGCCGTTTGGTATCATGGTGTACCGCACTGAACATGGACCACAGGAAGTTAAGGAGAGAGTGATTTCAGGAGCTTAAAAAAAAAGGATTGAGCAGCACGTTAAAGGTAAAGACTACAACACCGTCTCCAAGCAGCTTGACGTTCCTCTGACTACAGCTGCACATATTTTTAAGTAGTTAAAGGCCCACAGGACTGTAGACAATCCCCTCTGAATGGAAAATAAATGACAAAGAGAAGGATAATACAAAGTACAAATGGTAAACAAACAGCCCAGAACAACTTCCAACGAGATTAGAGGTGAACTCAAAGGTCAAGGTTCATCAGTGTCAGATCACACCAGCAGTCACCGTTTGAGCCAAAGTAAACTTTATGGAAGACAACTGAGGAGGACACAAAAGTAAAAAAAAAGTGAGACTGGAGTTTTCCAAAATGAATGTTGACAAGCCACAAAGCTTCTGAGAGAACAGATGAAAGCTGGTGCTTTTTGGCAAACAGTCCCATTAGGTCTATGTGTTACATGCACCTGTCTCAGTTTTATGAAGGCAGATTTGCTTCATTACCATGTCCACTGTTTCCAGACCTGATTGGCTGACAGGACTTTAAAAGGAATAAGCTCTGCCCGCTAAATGTGGGGGAGAGAAGAGAGGCTGTTTGACTTGATGTCTTCCATGCTTTATCTCCATGCTCATTCCCACTTCCTCCTTTGACTATAGACATCAGAATCAGAATCAGAATAAGCTTTATTATCATTGCTCTTAAGCCTCCCTGGTAAGGTCTATTCGGGGGTTCTGGAGAGGAGGGTCCGTCGGATAGTCGAACCTTGGATTCAGGAAGAGCAGTGTGGTTTTCGTCCTGGCCGTGGAACACTGGACCAGCTCTACACTCTCAGCAGGGTCCTGGAGGGTGCGTGGGAGTTTGCCCAACCAGTATACATGTGCTTTGTGGACTTGGAGAAGGCGTTCGACCGCGTCCCTCGGGGGGCCCTGTGGGGGGCCCTGTGGGGGGTACTCTGGGAGTATGGGGTACCGGGCCCTTTGATACGGGCTGTTAGGTCCCTGTATGACCGGTGTCAGAGCCTGGTCCGCATCGCCGGCAGTAAGTCGGGCTTGTTCCCGGTGAGAGTTGGACTCCGCCAAGGTTGCCCTTTGTCACCGATTCTGTTCATAACTTTTATGGACAGAATTTCTAGGCGCAGCCAAGGTGTTGAGGGGATCCGTTTTGGTGGCCTTAGGATTGCCTCTCTGCTTTTTGCAGATGATGTGGTCTTATTGGCTTCATCAGATCGTGATCTACAGCTTTCGCTGGAGCGGTTCGCAGCTGAATGCGACGCGGCCGGGATGAAGATCAGTTCCTCCAAATCCGAGGCCATGGTCTTGAGCCGGAAAAGGGTAGAGTGCCCTCTCCGGGTCAGGGAGGAGGTCCTACCCCAAGTGGAGGAGTTCAAGTATCTTGGGGTCTTGTTCACGAATGAGGGAAAAATGGAGCGTCAGATCGATAGGTGGATAGGTGCAGCGTCTGCAGTGAAGCGGGCGCTGTACAGGTCTGTCGTGGTGAAGAGAGAGCTGAGTCAAAAGGCGAAGCTCTCAATTTACCGATCGATCTACGTTCCCACCCTCATCTATGGTCACGAGCTTTGGGTTGTGACCGAAAAAGAATGAGATCTCAGATACAAGCGGCCGAAATGAGTTTTCTACGCAGGGTGTCTGGGCTCTCCCTTAGAGACAGGGTGAGAAGCTCGATCATCCGGGAGGGACTCAGAGTAGAGCCGCTGCTTCTCCACGTCGAGAGGAGCCAGTTGAGGTGGCTTGGGCATCTGTTTAGGATGCCTTCTGGACGCCTCCCTGGTGAGGTGTTCCGGACACGTCCCACCAGAAGGAGGCCCAGAGGAAGACCCAGGACACGCTGGAGGGACTATGTTTCTCGGCTGGCCTGGGAACGCCTCGGGATTCCCCCGGAAGAGCTGGCCCAAGTGGCTGGGGAGAGGGAAGTCTGGGCCTCCCTACTTAGGCTGCTACCCCTGCGACCCGACCCCGGATAAGCGGAAGAAAATGGATGGATGGATGGATCATTGTACCGAGATACAACAAGAACATGTACATGCAGTCGTCGGGAAGATGGACGAAGTGTACGAAGCTGCTACTGCACTGTGCGCGGCCTTCTTATCAGATAATAATCTTAGATAGGAAAAGGGGGAGAAATATGAGGGTAAATAATGGTATTACAAAAAAAGATCTTTCACATCTTGTCTATCAGGACACAATTTGAGACATTAAAAAAACTCTACCAGCAAGCACAATTGAAACATGATTACATTTGCATTTGACATCAACGTGTTGAGATTTGTCCATGAGCGTTTTTTCAGATTAGCCACATTTTCTGAAGCCAGCAGTTCTGATAAGCTTGCACAGAAAGTTCTTTTGCGATAGATGAAGCTTTTGTCCTTGGTTACCCATGTCCCAGGAGAAATTTGATAGTCGGCCCATTCCGAGGCCGTCGGAGAGTCAGCTTGATTCTTGTTTGTCTTCAGGCAGACAGAGTACTTTTTTCTTCAGCCTTGAGTCCATCTGGGCGTTCTGGTTCCGAAAATGCCTAATTGTGGGATTCCATTCCACTGATCCATGCTATGAGTCTCCTTCAAGGTCGAACCCACCACACTGACGAGTCCCAGAAGCCGCAGGTGGCCTGCGATTCTCATAAATCGCCTCCACCTTACGGTTTAGCTCGTAAATCAGATGATTTAAAGTTCCTACTGCACGGACCAAACCTTCACACTGACTCTGAAGCTTTTCCATGGCCGAAACTGCCACCAATGTCTTCTTCAAAAGTTGATAAAACAGAGCCCCGCCGATGCCAAAAAGCAGAGTCCCTGCTATCATAATGCCAAATTCCAAAACGTTTTCAACATCCTCCTGAGACAGAACTGAGAGGCACATCAGCTGCCACACTCCCCATGGATCCATGACGTACCCCACAGCGTGAGTCTCAGCTGGACACGCCGGTTCTCCAGGACCTTGTCGCTTTGATGAAAAAATCTTATCAATACAGTTAAATGCCCAAGATACCAAATCCATAATCTTTTTAATTTATGTTCGAGAGATGTGAACCAGGCACTTCAGACACACAGAGAGCAGAGCAGGAGGAAGGAAAAACGGGGGAGGAAAGACAGAAGCAGTCACCTCGATCAGAGCCAGGGAGGAAAAAAAAACAAAAAAAACCCTGCCTTCTATTTTTAGCTGGGTTTGGGAGTTACCTGCAGTCCTGTTTCTGGCCTAGTTTCTTGTGGCTAGTTTTATGGGTTTAGGTTTTGTCCAAATCAGACGGTCAAACTAACAGAGCAAACTGTTTTAAGGCTTCCATCAGGTGACTTCCATCACCTATTAGTCAGTCAAACTTGACCAAGAGAGAAGTGACACGTTTTGCTTACCTTCATGCAGGTGTAGTCATTGTTGATATCCGGGGTGACACCTGATGCTGCCATGTAGGTGCTACCAATGGTCTTGATCTTTGTAATGCAGCGAAACTGTGGCTCATCCAGCAGCTGGGATGGACAAAAAAGGTAAATAATAAAAAATTAAAAAAACATGTTTTACTTTAATTCTAGAAATACATAATTTTATGCCTCTGCTTCTGATTTTGAGGGGAATCTTCAGGGCCTCCATTTCACTAATTATATAAATTATTTGCTTTCTGAAGCAATTATTTGCTCATAATTAAAAATTTATCTAATTAAGCTTATAATAAACTTTAAATGTATTATAAATATATTGAATTTAAAAAATCAGTGTGATCTTGTCAATGTCATATTTTTAAATAATTATTTGATCCCAAGTGGCAGACTGGAAAGAACAGAGTCAGAAGTTATAAAAGAAAAAATGTTTTTATTTTTGCAGGTCAAAATCCTCCAGGCTGAAAAGAGAAGACAGGGACAAGGTGAGTATCCAGAATGATCTTCAGAAAACAACTGATCAATTGTGTTTAGGTTCTTGTTCTTACTGCAATGTTTCTTGTAGTCAGGTCCAGAGAGGAGAGGTTCAAGGAGTCCCAGGGTTCCAGGTGATCCAAGCAGTGAAACGAGGTGAGTGTTGGTAGAGAGAGGAGCAGGTCGTCTGAGGTGGAAAAAACTTATCTCTGCAGGAGATCAAAACAAGGTATTCAGATACAAAGTGCTTCAAACAGATTTAGTGGCTGGTCACACACTTTACCATAAGCATGATAAATGTCCCGGTGCTGGAGGCATGTCTGGCAGAGGTTCTTATACCCAGGCAGAGTAGTCCTCCAAACCAGGAACAGCTGTGGAGTGGTGGTTGATTAACATTGGCTGCAGGTGATGAGTGAGAGAATGGCTGGCGGACCTAGAACTCCTACAGTCAAGGGAATGTGTATTATTTGCACTCGCCATGCTCCATAATTTTCACTGCTCTTTTACTGTTATTTGTAAATTATATTAAAATGTTCCATGATCCTTATTCTATGTAATAATCAGTTTTCTCGTGATCGATTAGTAAAGGGACAGCAAGAGATCATTCTATTATCCCCAAGATCTGATTGATATGATTACGGTGATGTCTTTCTTACGACAGTCTTTGAGAGCTGCTGGCTCCCAGATTTCCTCCAGCTTCTGATGGCAACTGGGTCCTGATAAAGCTGGACAGGGCGGGGAGGGGCTGGAAGTTTCTACAAAACTGATTTTTTTTTTTCTGTTCAAGAAGTCAGAATGTGTCAGAGCCTCAGACAGGTGATTGATAAGTGCATACTTGTAAATGCAGTGATCTTCTGTGATTGTTGGCTGTTCTCCTAAGCTTTGTAAATAAATGTGATGAAGCTAACACCTGATTGTTTTGGGAATCTCTTTTTCCAAAACAATCTTCAAATGTTATTAGCAGATTTGGTTTTCATTTCAGCATGCAGCTTAAAGTATTTTCGTTTTAGGATACTGGTCATGAGCACGGGGGAGGGGATCTGTCTCTCCTGCAGTCCCTCATCTGTGTGCACATAACTTAAATACGTATTCACTTCAAACATCTGTTAGTTTATGCTGTTTCAGATTAAGTAATCAAAACACATTTACCTCTGCTTATATGTGCTGCTGATCAGGGCTCCCTGGCAAGTTAATGGCTAAAAATATTTCCTGATGCATGCTCAATATATTCATAAAAATATTGTTTAATGCTCCTTAATTTGAAAAGAATGTTTTGATTTAAAATACATATTTCAGACAATTTTAAACTTCAAGAAATTTAGAATCCTATGTTTAAACAATCAGGTGAAAATATAAAAGCAAGATATAGTGCTCTTTATTTTCTTTTTAATCAAAGCATTTTTATTGATTTTTTTTTTTCAGTTTTTGAACATACAAAAAAAAAAAAAAAGAACAAATGTAGAACAAATGTAAACCAAACCCCCCCACCCTTTTCCTCCCACTCCGGATCAGTCACACACATACACAAATTAATTAACCAGACATTGAAATGCTTTCCAAGTACAACACAAAAGGCTGCCAAGTGCCCTAAAATCTTTTGACAGACCCCTTCAGGGTATATCTTGTTTTTTCCAAATGGATATGGTACATTGACCTTATTCAATGTACATATGCTGGGGGTGTGGGTCCTTCCAATTGCACAAAATTAGCCTCCTGGCCAGAAGAGAGCCAAAGGCAATCATAAACGTCTCGTATTTGCTGAAGGACGTCTCCACAGGGACCACCCCAAACAGTGAGATGAGTGGTGATGGGTGTACAGATTTGCCACATATCCTAGAGAAGGTGCCAAAAATAGATAGCCAAAACATCTGCAGTTTGAGACAGGTCCAGAATGTATGTTGTAGTTGCAGTTTGTTTGCAACAATTACATGCAGGATCCAGGTCAGCTTTGATCTTGGACAGTTTGTCTTTGGACCAGTGCAGCCAGGTGCACTACCTTAAATTGAATTACAGTGCCTCAGATAGATTGAAGATGAGTAAATGTTCTTAATGACTCTTTTCCAGATTGAGTCTGATATGGATTCCTCCAAGTCCGCTTCCCACTCCAGTTTAAGGAAGTCCAAACTGGACTCATGGTATGAACTGAGTAGTTTATAAATTTTGTTAAGGGCCCCCTTCGTATCAGACCTGCATTCCAAAATCTTAACCACAAAATGTTTAGAGGGGTGCAAACGAAAACAGTCCGAGTAGGACCTCACAAAATGCCTCTGTTGCAAATATCTAAAAAACTGTGACTTGTGAATATTAAACTTCTGTACCAGCTGCTCAAAAGAGGTAAATCTACCATCAACATAAAGATAACACAGTGAACTCACTCCCCCCAAGACCCAGGTGCCAAAAGCTGTATCAGCTACAGAGGGAGTAAACATATGATTATGGCATTTGAAGAAGGTGCCAAAAACAGTAACTGCAGAGTTAAATGACCTCATGAACTGATTCCAACTCTTCAAGGATTCAAGGATCTTTATTTGTCATGTGGTACATGTGGTAGAATGAAAATGTGTACACAGGGTCCCAGTTCCTGTGGACCCACCACCTGCAAGAAGGGCCATAAAAGTCGGGTGCATGATGTTATGGGCAGTGGCCGAAGGTGGGGACCTTGGCGCTCACCCATGAGTCTGTGTGAGCAGATGAGTGCGAATGACCATAGAAACATAAAACAATTCAGCAGCTTAATGACGTGATTTTTCACAGTGATTATCCTGGTTAGAAATTTGTGAGTCTAACAGCCTCAGGGTAGAAGCTGTTCCTCAGTCTAGTGGTTCTACACTTAATGCTCTTAAACTTCCTTCCTGAGGGGAGCGGGGCAAAAAGTGTGTGTGCTGGGTGAGTGGGGTCCTTCATGATGCAGGTGGCCCTCTTCCTGCATCTGGAGGTGTAGATGTCTGTGATGGTGGGGAGACTGACTCCAACAAACCTCTGTGCAGCCTTCAACACTCTCTGCAAAGCTTTTCTTTCTGCAGCTGTGCAGCCTCCATGCCACACGTTGATGCTGGAGCACAGGATGCTCTCCACTGCTCACCTGTAAAAGGAGGTGAGGACTGAGCCTCCCAGTCCAGCTTGTCTCAACTGTCTGAGGAAGCAGAGTCTCTGATGTGCTTTCTTGATCAGGCTGGTGGTGTTGTTGCCCCAGCTGAAGTTGTCATTCAGGTGTACACCCAAGTACTTGTAGCTGGAGACCACTTCCACTGCAGATCCTCCTATGTTCGGGGGTGGGGAATGGGTGGATGTGTTCGTTCTTTCTGAAGTCCACAACCATCTCCTTCATCTTTGTGGACTTCAGAAGGAACAACCCCCAAACATAAGAGGATCTGCTGTGGAAGTGGTCTCCAGCTACAAGTACTTGGGTGTGCAGACAGAAAGGTTGTTCTTCCTGCACCAGCTCTCCAGATTTTCCATCTCCTGCCTGTAACTGTACTCATCGTTGTTTGTGAAGCATCCGACCACCCCTGTATCGTCTGAAAACTTTACAATATGGCAGCGTGGATGGATAGGTGCACAGTCATACGTGAGCAGAGTGAACAACACACAGCCCTGAGGGGAGCCAGTGTTGAGGGTTATGGTGGAGGAGGAGAAGTTGTGGATCCTCACAGAATGTGGTCTGTTTGTTAAGAAGTCTAGGACCCAGTTGCAAATGGAGGGACTTAGTCCTAGTGTGATTAGTTTGTCCATCAGGGTTTGGGGGATCATGGTATTGAAGGCAGACGTGAAGTCCACAAAGAGTATACGGACGTAGGAGTCCTTCTGCTCCAGGTGGGTGAGAGCAGTGTGTACCACTCTTCTGTTGTTCGATTTTCGCGATATGCGTACTGGTGAGGGTTCTCGTGAATGTTGATGGTTGTTCTGATGTGGGTCATGACCAGTCTTTCGAAGCATTTAGTGACTATCGGGGTGAAGGCTACTGGCTAGTAGTCTGAATGACTACTAGCCAGTAACCTTCACCCCGATAGTCCAGACCAGTCACTGTAGAGCTCTTTGGGACTGGGATGATGGTTGCGGTCTTCATGCAGGTTGGAACTGCTGCCAGGGTGACATCTCTCAGGTTGGAACTGTTGCCAGGGTGAAATCTCTTAACCGCTTAGATCACATTTGGGTTAGAAGTGTAGGTTGATATTGATTGTTTAAAGGGTAGCTGAGAGCAGAGTAATGCAGAAGGAGAACTGGATCTAATTGAGGCCCTTTCCAAGGCTACCCATCTACGAGAAGGGGTGTCCTTACCTAACCAAAATACAAGAGCTCTGATATTAGCTGCCCAGTATTAGTGCAAGAAGTTAGAAAGCGACATGCCTATAAGTCTGCGGGGCAGATGTTAGACCCACTTGGCAAGCCATGGATGCTTTTTATTTCAAATAAACACTGATATCTGGCTGTTCAGATTGGTAAAAAAGGACTTAATAAAAAAGATTGGCAGATTCTGAAACAGGTATAGAAATTTAGGTAGGATATGAATTTTACAGCGTTTATTCTGCCCTCTAGAATGTGAGGCAAGGATTACCATCTTTAGATGTCCTGTTTAAGGTTCACCATGAACGGTTTATAGTTGGTTTTATAGATGTTCT